CGCTGAATAAGCGTTTCGCTCTATCTGCACTGCGATGCTTCTACCACGACGCCTGGAGACGAACTAACTACCAAATTACTGACTACGCGCCAATGGATGCGCCGCGCGTCAGGGAACAAGACATGTATTACTAAACTTGCGTCAGTCCACAGACTGTTTCGCCACAATACTTTATGTTTCAAGCTTATGAGTTCATAGTATCCTGATGTAGTTTAATACTTTTTCCTTTCCATAGAGCAACGTCCGTCAGCCATGGACGGCCATTTTCGCAATGTCTTAATTAAAAAAAAATTACGGCCAAATGCGATGACCATCCATCTATTCCTACCTCTGCCCATGCTGAATAACCTAGTTTAGTCACCTTTAAGGTAGGGACTTCCCCTTGGCTGATATAAGTTTCGCCAAAGCCAGCCTCCAGCCAATGAGTCCCATTGAACTATGTACTAATCTCTCTGCCACGTGGCCTTATCGGATTGTTTACAGAAACGGTGCTTGGGCAAGCCAGGGCCTGTCTTATATCAATGTTCGGTCTCTTTGATGTGCCTCTGAGCTATGTCTAGACAGCTGTCTGGGTAGTTTCATTGTTTGTTTTTTTTTGGGGGGGTCAAATTGTTGTTTACTTGGTCCCCCCACTAGAAAAAGGGTACCGTGACGGTACTCTGACCTTTTTTGCGGTTATATTGAGAGAAATGGGATATTTGTATAATGCATGTGTTTTAGCTACTTTCAGAAATGACAAAACCTTTAGCTGTTGAACTGTCACAATCTGTTGAAACTGCTTAGATTTCCTATCAGGCTGGGCTACTGAAAGATCATTACTCAAACAGTGAGACATGTGTGGATTGTGGACTACCCTCAACGAAATGTTCAGTGAGTTGATTTAGGGTAACATGTACAGTCTCAGCATTGACTTCTGTACAAATTCTATTGATTAAAAAAGCTATATTTCCACTTCACGTAGGTTAACTGGATTTGATTCAATTGAAACAAAGTGAATTGAATTTAACTGCAATTGAATTGAAGGTATAAACTGAACAATGTCTTTTCTGAATGACATTGAAACTGCAAAGCCGATAGTTGTCTGGAATATACCAAAAGTGGGTTTCAGTAATTTTTACTGCATGGATCTGTTAAGGTCTCTGGAAAATAAACACTCTGCATTGAATGCATAATGCACGCAGGTGTTCAGGTTCTGTTGCCCTTTTCAAGTCTGACCTGATATGATTTCCTATGGCCGATGCTCCACGTAATCCCGTGATAGATTGGATTCTGGAGTTTAGAATTCGAGTTTGACAATGTTTATAAATGCAAGTGGTTGGTGCACGCCAAGACTACGCCTTGACAGGTTTTGGGAAAATGGCAAAATATGGAAAATATGGTAACAAAACGTTCAGTTTGTTAATTACACTTGTTTATTCTTCAGATCAGCTTCAAAGAACAAACGATTTCTGAGACTCCTTCAGTGTTTCGTGAATGACAACATAACTGCCCACAAAACCTTTTGCAACAAATGCACCATTATCCAGACAACTGGGAATTATTTTTTGAAATTTTTAATTTTATTCAATTTTAGATTTATGGCTTATATCAAGTATTTTACAATTAATATAGATATCAAGACGAACACTCTTGATTTCAATGGCCCTGTGAATCATCAAACTGGTAAATTCTTATCATTTCAAAAGTATCTTTTACCATCCGTAAAATCACAAAAACGGGACTCCTGAATAATCCTTGAAAAAATCTTACTTCAAAGACATTATTGGCCAATATGTAAATATATCTGCCTTTTTGGCGAGAGTTTTTGTTTAACTGATACGTTAATCTTTACATATTGAACACGTTAACGTCCACCTATTCTTTTGTGTAGAGTGTACAGCTCTTGAATCATTCTGCATAAATGTTTTATGTTAAGATCAGAAAAAAATACGACGTCGAAAATCACCAAACGCATGGTTAACTTTAATTAAAAAGAGGAAAATAAGTGTGACATAAATGATGAAAAAGAGAATGTGGAAAAGATAACAATTCCTTTTTGGGTTGAATTTCCTGATGAAGTGAGAAATCATCAACAGCAAGTAAAGTTTACAACTCAAACTTAATACAGACCCTAGGTTTCCCCTTTTTATTATATTTTATAACTTTATCTCATTTGTCTTCATCTTCTTTGATAATTCCGGAAGTTTTTGTTAATATGTATATATAAAATTTCGATATACCCTTGTCAGAACATTCCATTCTTGTAGCCGGAAAAGCATCGATCTTAACTTGTTTTCTGGAACACTCAAAAGACGTAAACAAGCAATTTTGAAGCAAGTATATTTCTCCTACGCATCATGTCCACTACAAGTTGATGTCATTAACGCTTAACAAGGTCAATACAATAACATATGTTTCCATACAGTCATTAATGACTATCCATAAATCATAATGTCATTCCAGAGAAAAACTCCATGACTTTGCTTTTTGCAAAATAAATATTAGGATTTCTTACATAGTTGGGCCTTAATTGTTTTTCTTTGATGATCCATTGCTGTGCGAGCTCATGGCAATAAGTCTAGAGAATTTAATTCGAAAATGTTGGTTCCACTATTTTGAACCCCCCATGGTTTGGAATGAATGGGGTACGTTCGATTAGCTTCCACTGGCTGATTTGGGTTTACCTCGAACCCCAACATCTCACTTGTTTGACTTGGTACACCTGGCCATCCCAAGGTTAGAATTTCCCCATTGAATAAGCCCAATAGTGTCCTCCCAGACTGACATTACAGCAAAAGCGCCCTCAGTCATTTCAAATGATTAAAAAAGTGCCCTTTATAACACTTGGCTAGCCCGAAGAGGCGTTAAACACTTGCCATACATAGATCAATTAATCGCATTAGGTTGCACACAAAGAATGTTGGTCACTTGGACCAATCAATTAACTGGCGTAAAGCAAGAAGCCGCTGAAGGAGTTGAAGTGATAGAAGTCACCACCGGCCACACTACCATATAAGGTCAAATACACTTCGTCTCCTCGCTGGAGAACAAGCACTGCACTCCCAGACACCTGCTCATAGTGACTTGGATAACCACTGCTACCAGAGACAATCCATTCGTTGTTTTTCTTTAGATGAACGTAAAGCGCGGGAACGGGACCGGGACCATTTTTGTACACCGAGAACGAGAACGCGTAGGTCCCTGGCACAGTACAGGTAAACGTACCATTCTTGAGATCAAAGCTAGTACCTGGCAGAAGTGTCAAAGTCTGCTGGAAGGCCAAAGGGGTTGTGTGATTGTAGCAGGGATCCGTGTCGTTTGTCCTCACAGCAGTAAAAGCTATCGACTGCTGATTGGGTCTATCAAGAGTTTCCTCGCTCTCATATTCTCGCCCTTCGTCCAGTTCATTGTTCACAGGTCGCAGCATGACAAAGTTTCCAAGAAGACAGCCGAACAAAAGGACGTTTACCAGAAAGAAATGCATCTATTCGAAACATTTCAAAAATTGAAGAAAGTTAGGGTTTTGGAACTGTTGCAACAAACGACACCCTTAACTGAACAGCGTTTTGTGTAAAGGTTTTCATCTCCCTACAGAGGTACAGTCAGATGCAATACGATTGGTCCTCTTCCTATACCTCTAGCGTAAATTCCGAGGGAAAGAAAATACATGTTCATCCACTTGTGGACAAAGACGATTTGCCGTTTTGATTAAACCTCTTTATTTACGGAATTTGGGGGTTTGATGTGGAGTTTGAGGGTGAAATATTCTATCAGCTACAATTTAGTTAACTCTGCACAATAGCAGAATGCATGCAGCAAGGGGTAATGAACAGGGAAAGGACGGTAAATAGAGAAAAAAAAAAGTGGGAACGTGTTTGTAGGCCAAACATATGTTCTTTTCTGTACGGGGTCGTTCATCATCAGGCCTTTTGGAAAAAAGTGTACGGATAAGGACAAAAATAATACCGTTACTCGATTTACCAAAATTAATTACTTGCCGTCACTACAGCAAATACTTTGCGTCGAAGCAAATTGATTAGTTTTTGTCGTCAAAAATGAACTGTCGCCAAACGACACTTTTTCAAGATAACTTGATGAGAAAAAAGAAGTTCGGATATTAACATCTCGCAACTGGTAGCAGCTGAATCTGACGCGTTCACATTATTGCTGACTATCCACAGTATGCCTCAGCGTTTTTGCATTTTCTTTCAGTTTTAGTAAAATGAAAGAAACCAATACAGGCAGACCAAGAGAGAGATAACGTACTACACGATGTACCGTTGTTTGGTGCTCCTTAATAAGCTTGAGGGAATCCATTGCCTTAGTTCAGTTGCCTTTCTCAGTTTGTCCTGATTGTCAACCACACTTTTAGACGGAAGTTGTAAAAAGTACCGGTTGAAGTTTATGAGCCTCAAAATGGACCGAGAGGGCGCAACGCAGGCACCCTCGGTCTGAACTGAACTTCGCTGATTGACTGTGAAAAGCACGCGTTGGGACGCATCGCTTACAACAAAATAAACACTCCCGCCAAATATTGATCTTTTTAATCGACGAGGGGATATTTAGGTTCTGAGCGGATTGGTTTGGCTTAGTTTCAGTCCCAATTTTTGTCAGGGGCATTTTTTTAATTTTCAGCGTTTATTGTGTCAGCCCTGAGCCTCGTCTGGGTCTTCTAAATGTTGCACCATCTGCATATGGCCGTAATTGATTCCCCGCAATTTTGCAGTAAAAGTAGCTGCATGATTCAGAATATATGAAATTAGTTTGTCGGTCTATTTAAATCACAATTTTTTCTTCAGATAATAATCAAATTATTTTGGAAAACACAATGGTTGATTGTCCGCACCTTGCATTTTGTGAGACAGATTCTGTCTTCTTTCTCCCCTGTCAATACGCCCTTTGAACTGTAATCAATAAAACTTATCAAGAGATAAACGCTGTTTCAATCACAACAGCCGGTCTGCTTAATGCCACATCATCATATTTAAAAAATGCAGAAATTATTTTTAGTTTTAGAACAGAGTTTTGATGCATTTTGTTCAATTCATTAAAATTGAACATAACAGTAAAAACAAATATCGCAAAAGGATAAAATATTCGATTTCCATAATACTTAACAAATAATTATGGTCCAAGTTTGACAGAACTACGCTTGTTTCTGAACAATCGCATATCTGTATGCATAACATTCGGTCTCATATCGCTGGTCAGGGATTGAAAGGAGGGATGTTGTAGGATATTGGTTGAATTTACTTTTTAACAAATGAATGAGCAGCTTAAAATTTAGAATTTATACTTCGGAAGATCCCATGGGTACATGCTGGTTATCAGTCGTCTGTCAGTCAGCCCAGTGTCAGTTGGTCAGTCGGTCGGCGAATGACCGACAGATAATACCGATGTATATGTATATCATCAGCCCCATTACTTTAAAATGGCAAATAAGTAAAGTTTTTTCTCTCCGTTTCAGTATTAGCGAATGCATTTTGTGGTTGTGAATTTCTGAAACTACCAGAAATTCCGATTTTTCTATTAGTCTGTGTGGCGCTGGCGATGATCAAATAGCTAATAGGCCTAATTATAATTATTCTCCCTGTCTCTATCTGAATTTACGCTTCCGATTGGGGCAAAGATATTTTTTCGGAGAAATGAAAACCAGCACAAAAAGATACAAGAAAAATATACCTTTATGTACACAACTGCGTGTGTGTGAGTTTGTTTCTGCATTCAGTTGGGGACCTTGAACAATAGAGGACAATAAGGTCCCCGATTGACAGAGGGTCCCCGATTGACAACTGTGTACAAAACATATGGGTGGTCTTCTAAAAAAGTTATAGTACAAACAAAAGAGGAACAATAGGGGGTCCCCAGTTGCAGGTAAATACACACTTCACAGAGTGTGGGTGTGGCTGAAATAAAAACAGCGACAGTTATGTACAATTTGGTTACGCAATGGTTCAGCTGTGTAAATTGACGAAACTTATTTTGCGGTTCATTCCAAAAACAAACACCCACCTCTAAGCTCACAAATGACAACATATTCCCCAAGATTACCATTCAGATTATGCTTTTAAGGGCTAGATAATTTGTTGCAGAAGTATTCTTATCTCCGATTCCATTTGCAAAAAAAAGGGAAAAAGGCAACATTTGCTAAAACTGTAACAACATTCTGAATGAAGTAAACTGTTTTAGACGTCTTACCTTGTAACTTTTAAGGAAACAAAACGCTCTTGTTGCAAGAAGCCAGACATGGGTTGTAATCGCTGTCAGGAGTGCAGCCGGCGGCCGGCTTCTTGTAGTTTAAATTCTGCTAGTGATTTGAGAGGCAGTGACCATGGACCTTGTCCTGGTTTTTGATTGGCCCCTGCATGGTCAAAACAAACGCTAATTTTACAAAACACATCAGCGTCGAGAAATTTATCATCTTTTAATACAATGTGTATTTCTGACCCCTAATTGAAAAAAAATGAATCTTGTTTCTATTCTAGTTGTTGTTTAGCATCAAATATGCGCAAGACTATTGCACGTTGCCCAACCACAGACGACGCATGGAGTCACTATCTCTAAAGGATGACTGCCTAGCCAGAAAATAAGCGCGATTCACAATGCAGAGCGCCACCAAATGGTTGCCAGTAACAGAAACGTTCAGTCTTTAAGTTCCCAGTCAACTGAGACATAGGTTGCATTAGAGCGACTGTTAGTTGACAACCTGCTTGATTGATCGGGATAAACTGTGCCTTACCAAAACAAAAAGCAAAAATAAAAAAATTAAAAAAAAGCCCCAACATCCTATATCTCTATAATGAATTAGTGGAGAGAAATGAGTTTCGTTTTGAGAAACCACTGATGAAGAAGTGGATGGAAAAATGGAGTTTCAATTCCACTAACTAACAGGGTCCTCTTGAATTGTTTGGAAGTTGGCTTGGGTTCAAGACTATAACGTTTTTCTGAGAGTCCAATTAATTAATTTATTCGAGTGTTCACCCCAAACCAACTTCCAAACAATTCAAGAGGACGCTGTTCATCTCCGGGATTGTGTTTCAAATGTGTTTTAATTGAACCTCCATTTTACCATCCACTTCATTTGTGGTTTCTCAACATCCCCAAGCTTCGCAGCAGGAGCAACTTTGTACCTTTATCGCATATTTCAAATGTTTTATCCAATCAATGTTTTGTATTTCGGTATATGAACCTGATTTACATGAGGCTCAGAGGGATCGGCCCCTTTTTAAACAATCTTGTCAGTCTCTTCGTTACTTGCAGTTTATGTGCGTATTTCGTGACTTTGTGGCCTGGCTTTAAGCTTTGGACATGAGATATTTATGTGTGTTATATAAACAATATGGCCATGGATTCCCGTTGGGCGTTTCCAGCTCTCAGCGTTCTGATGAGCTCTACCAGAATTTCATACAGCCTCAAGGATATGCAAAGTTTCTCATCATCGCCCGCCTCATTCATGCTCGATTTCTAGGCTACATTGATACCAGCAATAAGCATTAACAGGTTTGAACCGCGTTAGTTGTTCCATGCATTGTTCAATTTTAACATTCTTTCTGTAGCGAAACACAGTAGATGCAGACTTGCAAGGCAACTAAGAGACGTTAAGCTTGTGAAATAGTCTTCTTATTGTTCCTTCTTCAGCTTGACTTCAAACAATAAAGTTTCCCAGACCCTTTCAATATTTTATGAGTGATAAAATTACTGCCTAAATGTTGTTTTTTTTTGTAATAATGCACCTTAATCCACATCGGTGGGACTGTTTCCATTAAAATCTTTTATTCATATGGCAGTCTTGGACATTACGGCTAATACTCAGCATGTTATACGGTAGATGTAGATGTTAAGACGAACACTGGCGATTTCAATGGCCCTGTTCAAAAATATTCTCATTTCAAAGGTAGGTGACACCATTAGAAAAATCACAAAACAAAACTGCTGCCAGAAGTCTTACATAAAAGAAAGTAAATAACACCATCGGTTTGTCTTTAAAATATATTCGCCCAGAATGTTGGAGTTTTCGATAAAACAGAAATTTGAGTTTGTATTTTAACGATCGTTGGCTGACCATCGTTTGTTAATAGTACGTTTTCATTGACATACCGTACCATAAACGAGAGCCAAATCTGCGTGGTGCGCGCAGCTATTGAAGCAGTCTAAATAAACAGAAAATATTACAAGCAGATAAAACTACGCCGTCGAAATCCACCATTATCAGTATAGGGATACAAATCAGACATCAGTTGTGAAGGAGAATTTGAGTTATCTGTCCAAATTTGAATTTCAAATTGAATTTCCAGATACAAGGGATCGGGAAGTCAATTCCACAGACAGTAAAGTATACAAAATTCCAGTGGAGGCTTCACTATTAGATGTAATACGAATATTTATAATTTTGATATAGCAAGTCACAACATTTCATCTCTGTAACCATAAAAGAATCAAAATTATTTGTTTGGAGAAAAAACAAAAGCATGCCTTTTGTATTTTCTCCAACCAGATTTTCAGTGTCACTGAAAAAAAGGCAGTTACGTTATTATTCAGCTACGCAGCTACTACAATTTTGTGTCATTGAAGCTTCAAGGATCCATGCAACGCCATTTCTTTGTATACAATAATTTAAAAGCACATACATTTGTCCAATTCAGGAGCTAACACGTAACATTCTGGCAAGAAAAACTCAATTAATTTCTGCACAGATTGTTTGAGTTGATGATCTATGGTAATTTACGGTCATGGAATTAAGCACAGAAAAATTTCAAAGCAAACATGCTGCTTTCACAATTTTGCAAAAAAAGAAACAAACATATAAACAGTAAACCAAAAAAATTGGGTGCGTTTAATTAACTTCCACTCGCTGACAAGAGTTTAACCTCGTCCCCACCTTCTCCATCTCCAAATCAGGTTCCCCCTGGAAAGCTAATCGAACAGACCCAATAGCTGACTATCAACACAGCGAAAGCGTCCGTTAAAGCACTCTATTTAAAACACTTAACCCCAAAGGGTCGGCAAATAGTTTTCACCTGGTACCTGGCAGAAGTGTCAGGGTCTGCTCGAAGGCCAAAGGTGTTGTGTGGTTGTAGCAGGGTTTCGAGTCGGTTGTCCGTACAGCAGTAAATGCTATCAACTGCTGATTGGGACTATTTAGAGTTTTATCAGGCTCATATCCCTGCCTTTCCTCCAGTTCGTTATTTGCAGGTCGCAGCATGACACAGTTCCCAAGAACAATGCCAAACGAAAGGACGGTTACCAGAAAGAAATGCATCTATTGAAAACATTGCAAAAATTAAAGAAGGTTAGGGTTGTGAAACTATGGCACCCACTGTGATGCAGCCAGGTTGATCCTTTTACTTTTTTTCTTTTCTTGCATAAATCCAAGAATGAGATTAGACTGATCCCCGTCCACTCACTGACCGAGAGGATTTACTAGTTGATCAAGCCCTGCCCCTCTTATTTGCGGTGGTTGGATGAAGATTTGGAAGGAGTGTATGCAGGACAAAAATGCCAATAGGAAGGTCATATTTATCGAAAAATTACATTAGGGGCCATACTGTCCACGTACAAGTCTATTATCTTCGTCTTTATGTACATCAAATATGTAACGTCACATATAACGCTGGGTCTTTGGGACTGTGTGTATCGACCATGTATATATCCTGCCCTCTGAAGAGAGCTCGTTGGTACGACAGTTTCCAGTTTTACATTCAATTCATTAGGTTGAATAAACAAAGCAGCGTACAAATAAAAAGAGAGATGAGCTGAGATGAGATAACTCATCACTTTAGTTACAACACAGTTTCACAGCAAACCTCATGCATTGTTTCCGCTAAATCTCGCCAAATGACGCCTTTTCTAGATTTCTAGATTTGAAAGTTCTGAAATGTACTTGTAGAAGTCTGTTTGCCAAACTCCTTCAGTTTGGTTCGGTTTGGCTCAGTTCTAATCTCTGCCTGGTCCATTTGCTCAATTTCCAGTGGTTACTCTGGTAGATTCAAAGTTCGTCTGGGTCTTCCAAAAGTTGCACGAAACGCGTAATGGCCCATTAATGGCCTCCTTATTTTGTCTGTTTGAATCAACACAATATGTTTTATAGATATGTTCATCAAATTATTTTGGAAAACAAAATTGCTGAATGTCTGCACCTTGCACTTTGTGAGACGGATTCTTCCATGATCTTTCTATCTTCTATCAATACACCCTTTGAACTATATTCAGTAAAACAAATCAGAAAATAATCGCTCTTTCAATAATGACCAGTGTCCTCACATCACTCGTCATGTTTTGTCAACAAAACTATTGCAGATTATTGTCACTTTGAGAATAGAGTTTTAATTCAAATTGTTTCTCAATCCAAAAAAAACTGGAGCGATGAAGTCTACAGACAACCCGATTTTGTCACCCGTATGTATAATTATCATTTGGTCTCATAATACTGGCCACAGATTGAAAGGAAGAATGAAGATGTTGCAGGGTTTACATGCATGTTAAGTTCAAATATAAGTTTATATAAATTCTATCAACACCTAGAAATATGCAAATTGTACTACGAGAGATCTCACAGACAGGGGTGCATGTTGCCGGTTTCGATCGGTTGGTCAAATTGTCAGTCAGTCTGTTGGTCATTCTACCTGTTGGGCATACTGGGGCTAGTGGTGCAGTTTTCTGTCCCTTATACTTATATCAAAATCTCCATAAGCGGAAGGGGCAGGATTGCTGGACACTACATGGCACCGAGCAGCTTTGTGTAATACAGATGTACACCTTATCCATGCTTACACCTTAAACCTTTATTCCATAGCATATTAAAGTTTCTCTCCGCTTTCCCTACACTACTGAGAACATTTTGATAGTTTGAAATTTCGAAAAATACTACAATTTTCGACTTTTAAAACTCCTTTCATGAAAAACATGTACGTGTGGGGGTGTTGATCCAAAAGCTCATTCTCCCAGTCGAAAAGTGGGGGACATCATACTTTTCACTCCTGTCGGAATTTACGCCCTTGGTAAGGGCAACTATGAAAAATCAAAATCGACACCATTACGTATATACTTATATAAATCTATTTGGGTTGAGTGTTGATATAGCTGAAATATAGTAGTTACATTTATGTGCAATTCAGTATGCAGAGACTCAGAATCGACAATCTAGAATTGGCGAATTTATTTCGAGGCTCGTTAAACAAAAATATGTTCTAAGGTCATAAAATTGGCGTAGGCTAATTTATTTCCTGGCTCATGCAGCAACAATATTCCCTAACCTTACAAATGAAATAATTTTCATCGACCTATTACTGCTCCTTAGATAGTGCTTTTGGCAGTAGTGTAATATATTGCAGAAGTACTCTGAACTCGATATACCATTTGCAAACAAACACGACTTTAACATTGTGCAAAGTGTAACAACTTGTCTGGATGAAGTAAACTGTTTTAGACGCCTTACCTTGTAATCAGATCGCTCTTGTTGCAAACAGGCAGACGTAAATTGTGATCGCCGGCGGCTGCTGTTAGCTTTCATCCTAATCCTGCTGGCGATTTGATAGGCAGTGACAATGGACCTTGCCCTTATTTGTGATTGGCCCCCTGCGTTGCCAAGCAAACGTCAAAATTGACCATACACATCAGCAGTCGAGATACCTATTCTTTGTGATAAGACAAACAATGTACATTCCTGACACATGCATGGAGAACTGGGTCTTGGTGGCAAATTCCTATTCGGTGGGAGTAGTTGTGTTGCATCAAAATGTGCAGGACTTCACTATCTCTCCAGGATGACTGCTTGCCAGGGAGCAACTGTTTCGTTGCACAAAACACTTTGGAAACCTGACTTGAATAGAGGCTATAATTTTTGCCCTGAAGGGTTTTTAGGGAAGTAAAATCCAATATCTCAACTGGGTAAGCTTTCATGAGGGATGAACACTAGTCTCTTCTCAAGAATATTTTTCCACAGGAAAGTACATGGCTATCCCCAAACAGTTGTGCAATAAAAAACATAAGCTGCCAGGAACAAATTGCACCATCAAAAGGTTGCCAGCCACAGAGGCATGCACTTGAATAAAGTTTACTGTCCTTTGAAACATGGCCGACTGCAGCAATGTGCATTGGATGTTCTGTGCCCTACAAGAAGACAGAGACAAAGTACACAGAAGCAGGCAACCTGTTGAAGAACATCACATTCACTTAATATTGAACATATTTCTTAGTATTGCAGATACCTCTGGAGAACGAGGAAAAAATATCAAAGAGAAAAAAAGGGGTCTCTTCATTTATGTTCATAGCTTTTATCAAAGGAAGCACCGACTTACTGGTCGAAATTCAAAACTATATGTACAAACAATCTACCTTACCTAGAAAAACGCAACTGGCACTCAGCGCAAGTTAAGACCATCCTGTCGTGGAAATCACGAATAAAAGAATCGGTACTGTAGAGAGAAACAAAATCCTCAGAAGAATTGAATACAGTGTGGAATTGAATGAAATTAATGCTCGCAAAGACTGAGGCCATTTCTCGAAATTAGATAAAAACAAAACCAACACCTGTGGGCGTCTGGACAAGTTTAGGATTTCTTTTCCATCCTTCTCCCTCTCCCCTGCAGTTGCCAACGACAGAGGGTGGTCATCTGAGAAAAGTAAAGCCTCCCGGTTACCCTCAAAATCGTCAGGTATATTCATTCTGTACAAAGCGCTGCAATGATATCACAAATCACAAACGCAAAGTAGCCTGAGCTTACCGGACGTGATTTATCTATCTATCAATCACATTTGGTCATCCAACAAATCGGTGGCCACGAGTAAATTGTTCGTGGCTGACAAGTTTGTAGGTGTCAGTCGCAAAAGAATATGTTTAATTCATACATCGCTGACATCTCGGTAACTTCCACCATTAAGATCTCCAGTGATCCCAAGTTTCAGTGTAAGTATATATCTCGCAGTGTCTAATCACCAGCTCAGCTAAGTTCACCAGTCATTGCTTAGGAAATGGCTGGCCAGTTTAAAAGCCCAAGCGGCCGTTTTGCCCCTCAGAACGATGACCATTCATCCTCAGCTTGACGTAGCATCTCGAGAGAGCAAACGTCAAGCGGAATACCAGGTGAGTGTAAATTAATACAGTTGTACCAGGAACAGTTAAGAATTAGTTCTTTTTGAGATGTATGTACAATTTGGAAATAATGTACGCATGACATTGGGCTCCTTCAGTGTGCCCATTACAAATGCTTAAAGCTAATTGTAGGTAAAGCTGATTAACAGTACTTGGGATATGCGCGATTAAGATTCTGTTGCATATTGCAAGCACAAAGGTTCTGCGTGGCAGCCATATTTCTTGCTGTTGTTATGAAGGGATAGCACAAAATTCCTGTGTATTCCTGGGGAAACATGCTGGATTTATTTTCCAAATAACATATCCCGTACCAGTAATGTCAAATATAAAACATTCTGAACCTAGTGGGCTTTGATAATGATCTGCGATTGTGAAGTCGTCTGAACTGCTGCAAATCTTTGGGGTTTTTTTCGAGTAATATTCTTCGACCTTCCCTAACACTTTTCTGCGGTGCATTTTTTAAATCGTGAGAGAGGAGCTGATGTTGTTTGGATGAATACTGTGAAAGCATTGGTCTTGTTCTTTAATATGTAAGTTTTCCCATAGGAATTCAGAAATTTGTTTCCAGGCGAATGTTTCCAAGCGGTTCTGTTCATGCAATAGAAATTCCTTGGTACAGAATCATTGCACTCGTAGCACAGGTACTGTGCCGTTAATCGGATGTCACCCAATCGTCATTTTTGCACACCTTGACTGATTACTGAGACCTCTTCTAGTCAACTTCTTCTTACTTTTCTTTTCGAGTTTGTTGGGAGCTTTTACACTTTCAAAAGAATTAGTACATACTAATAAAAACATAAACAAAACAAAACCGAAAAGAAACAAGCAGAGGCAATTGTGCTTTTATCACTGCGCTACATTGGGTCCAAGAAAATTCGTTGATGAGTCTTTTTCTGCATACATTTTCATTGAGGGAATTTTAAGCCTTTATTTCAAAGTATCTTCGTGCATGTCAGTTATGTACATCATAGTTGTTTGAACAAACACAATTTTCTCAATTTGTGAAGTCAGGTTAAGTAAGATCACTAAAGCTATTCTACTTAAAGCTGTTCTTTGATCTCATAATCTAATATGAAGTGATCAACTTTTGGTACACAAACTCCATGAATCTGACTTGCAGTTTTCACTCTTTTCTCAATTTTAACACTGCATCGTTAGTGGCAGAATACACTGTGCAGCAAAATATCCTCACAACGTCCGAAGTATCGGACTAACACATTTGAACGTTTGCCTACAAGGGCGGCGTTCAAAACAACCACAATTTGAGCGCAATATAGTTGATTGCAAAGTGTTATGAATTTGTATATTAGAAAGTTTATTACTGAACATCTTATCCACCAAACAGCGGAAATGCTAATCCGTAACACTTATATGGATTCAAGAAAAGGTACACCATATCAACATCTAATTTCATTTATCAATTCTATCCTTGGCTATTCAGAATATTGTTAATTTTAACGCCGCATGTAGCTATTGCTTCATTTTTCGTTTGATTTTGTGTTTAGTTTCTTCGTGAAAGAGGCATACACTAACTGCAACGTACCGATCTTCACTTTTAGTGCATTTTTTTCCGAAAATATATTCTGATCAAAAACATTTTACTGTGCATGGTCACGTTTTCGGAAGTGAATCAGTTGTATTTCATTTTTGTCACGAATTTCGAGAAATTGGAATTAAGAACCACACGTCTTTGCTTTGAGACTTTTTACAGCGTATCACTGTACGTGGTTTCTATTGTGGGTTTCCAATCACTTTTAATATTAAAACCGACGTAGCTTCATTTCGCATTTGACTATTCGATGGCCTTCCCATCCAACCCATATCATACCGCTATCATCTGGACCTTGTTGATATTCCCCATTAAGGCCATTCGATGCATCAGAGTTACCATTGCATGTTCCGTGCCACCAGCCCCCGTTCAGCTCAGCTGCACAATTAACATTGGTATCCTCATCATTGTCCATATCGTAGGTAGAGAAGTTTCGCATGTTGAAATGAGGAGGGACTGGATCTGACGTTAGGAAGAAAACAAACAAAATGTTCACCATTCCATCCCTACTGATTTAACTATTAGGATGACATTGAGAAAACGGAGAAAACTGGGACAGGGGAGACAGGCATGTTGGTGTTATGCGTGTATAAATGAACTGCGCAATCTTACTGGGGACCAATGGCGCCACCAAGAAATGTCAAGGTGCTGACCTTGGACAGGGTTTTCCAAAATAAGTGTTACTGGTTTTGGCCTTAACATTTAAGAAATTTATTACATCCCAAAGTTTCCAATCTGCAAGAACAGAAATAAAAAAAAGAATTTGACGTGTCGGAGAAAATCTAAGTCTACGTTTGTCTTGGCAGTTAAGAGGTAATATCTTGAAAAAAAATTCATGTATCGGAAAAATAGGGCGTTTTTAAATGAAATTCCCAGTCCTTTGGTACGAACTCATTGGTTGCGTGCAAGATCCCGGTTGGTCAACTTCGTACCAGTCTATCTTTCTTTCGCCGGTAGTTGATCACTTCATAATAGATTATGAAATCAAAGAGCAACTATAAGTAGTAGCTTTAGTGATCTTACTAAACCTGACTTCACAAATTGAGAAAATTGTGTTTGTTCAAATGAATAGGATGTAAATAATTGACATGCACGAAGACAATTTGAAAAAAGGCTTAAGAGGTAATATCTTGAAAAAAATTCATGTATCAGAAAAAAAGAGAGCGTTTTAAAATGAAATTCTCAGTCCTTTGGTACGAACTCATTGGCGGTGTGCAAGATCCCGGTTGGTCAACTTCGTACCAGTCTATCTTTCTTTCGCCGGTAAGGGTGCACTTAAACTCGGGGCAGGGCAGATTCAGAAGGTCAACAAATGGTGTACATCCCCATAGACATGAACTTGTATATACATAAAGTGTCAAATCAAACATGTTTTTAGGGAGTTTTTATAAAAGAGTATAGACTGCAAATTAGGTAAGTAATAGTGTTTTTGTCTTGTGAATAATCATTATCATTGTACAATCAAGCAATACTGCTCAAGAGTGAGTGCAGGATCGTCAACAAGGGTTGGGATGAACCCCTAGAAGGTCCAGTGGATAAAGGATCAATGGATAAAGTAGCAAGGCAGCCATGAACGTCTATCAAAATTTTAGAAGGGCAGATGCGTTTCCACACCTTTGTAGCCAATCGAAAGAGAACAATCCATGAGGCATTATCACGCGAGCAGTGGCGGTACGTAAGCGCAGATCTCTTGTTTCAAGCCGACGATTCTTCCAGGGGGCTCGATGCAGACTGCCTGTTGTCGTCGGATAAATGGAGGAATGGACCTAGATTCCTTTGGCAAAGCGAAAGTCAGTGGCCTATGAAACCGGGAGTGACAAATCTGCTTGACTAGGATCGAAGAGTGAAACGGGAGACAACCTCTAGAGCTGTTGATGCCCAAGATAATGCCAATCCGATTCACGAGCTTATGAATAGGTATTCCTGCTGGCTCAGTCTTCGTAAGGCAGTGGCATGGCTCTTCCGTTTCAAGAATAGGTTGACAAATGGCAAGCCTGTTTGCCACCCATCCCGGCTGACAGTTCGGGAGCTCAAGGCAGCTTAGCTGGCTATCCTGAAGCATGTCCAACATAAGAGCTTCCCTCAAGAAATTAAGGATGTGCAGAAGGGCTGTACAGCTGTGAAAAGACAGAGTGCCATGTGCACTCTGAGACCTTATCTGGACGACGCTGGCATTCTTAGGGTAGGCGGTAGGCTGCAACATCCTATTGAAGAAGACCGCAAGTTCCCCTCCATTCTGCCCCAAAATCATCATGTGTCCCTCCTGGTGGTTCGTCATGTACACAAGTTATTAGTCATGGTGGGAGGGATCATGTTCTCTTTGTTGTCAGTAGAAAATACTGGATTCCGAAACCGTGTCTTATGTATGCTTTGCAAGAAGATGCATGCTCAGCCAGAGGTTCAGTGCATGGTCAATCTGCCAGAAGCTAGGATAAGCCCTGGCTTACTACCCTTGTCGCATGTAGTGGTGGATTGTTTTAGCCCTTTCTTTATCAAGCTAGGCCGCTTAAGGGAAAAGACGTACGGATATTTGTTTGTCTGCTTGGCCACCAGAAACATCCACTTTGAAGTTCTGCATTCCTTGGAGATAGACGCTTTCTTAAATGGTTTCATGAGATTTGCTTCCAAAAGAGGGGTACCGGAGCATATGTACTAGGACCACGGCACGCGGCACGCCACATGGGCGGATCGCGGGAACACAAGATAAGAACTGGCAGAAAGGTTTATCTGCACTTCTCCAGAACCAGATCCTTGACGATGAGAAACTAGTCGCCCTATTATTCAAGGTAGAGTCGATCGTGAACGACAGGCTGATCATACCAGTATCAGATGATCCCGACGATCTTAAGGCCTTATCCCCAAGCCACCTCCTTAAGCTAAGATCAGGCCTCCCTCTGCCACTATGAGGCTTACCTGAGCAGTTTCGAAAATGACGGACGCATGTGCAACTACAAGCCGAAAGATTTAGGAAACGCTGGGTTTCTGCACGTTGAAGTGAACTCAAGTCCGAGCATTTATTATAAGCCTTAGGCTCTATGCTTTGCTCAACATTCAGTTGAACTGCACCTCTGCTTGTTGTAATGGGGTATTTGATGAATCAAATTCACTAATTAACTTGAAGCTTCAGTGCAAAATGCAGATATTGCAGCTCTACCCAAGCTACTGAAAGCTACTAGATAAATGAAATAGCAAAGCCAATTTTGATGCAATACACTCCATCAACTACATGTAGGAATAAGATAAGATGAAAAAGAGGAGAGTGTAATTGATTGAATAATTACGAGAGTGTTCAAATGTTTTATGAAGTTGGCATTAAATGTTCTCAAAATCATGACTTGTTTGTTACTTAGATTCAACCTTTTGCCTCATGGTGTGGAAATGGAAAATCAGACACCAAAATCAGTAGCTAGCCACCTTATAAAGAAGCATGGCATGAATAATATATTTGGGTTGTTTAACTGTTATGAAGGAATTTCCTTTTGTGTTCTGCTTTTAAATCAAAGGTAAAACATGAAAGCAGGCCGATACTTGCTGTCTGCTATCCTTGGCCGTGGAAATCCATTTTACTTGCCTGTAGCCCTGCTTCCAGGGGACCAATGGATAATAACTTGCATTTTATTAGTAGTATCCCCCAAATAAATATTTAAATGCTTGAAAAGCAAGTCTATTAACAATGTTATTAGCATTGTGGGGATTAACTTAGCAAATATTTTGCTTTCTGTGAAATATGGCAAAATCTAGTTATCGGTGACAATTACACCACCGTGCAACAGTGTGAAAGTGAGGTTCTTTTTCATGACTGATATTAATGAATGGAAACGACCAATGCCTGACAATTTGTTAAGTAGCCAAAAGAGACATTGTAGACTATTTCAAGTTATTTCAATAGTTATGATTATGTTTAAGATTTTTCCAGTAAAACTTTTGCATATAATTCAGACATAAAGACTACTGGGGGGTAGTCATCAGGCTGTCCACATCTCTCCATACCAAGTATGTCTACCTGATCGGCACCAGTACAAGGCCACAAAATACCCCCACCGTCACCTCACTTTCCCACTTGCCATCAATCACCTCTCACATCCTTGATGCCTCATGGACAATCTTCCCAAGGAAATGGGTAGTGTTTACACAGTGTTTCTAGAAGTTCCTTTCCATGCAATGATTACTTTAGTAATTGTAAATAGTTTGCCGCAGACAGGCCACTTCTCAAAGTTTGCGGTCGACACGCTGCTGTGATATTTGATTGACTTAGGCGTTGCCTGCACCACACAAAAACATCATTTTGACTTCCTAACACCCGTTTGTAATAACCAGTTTCGAATTCTCAACCAAGATAAACATTCGAAAAAATTAAAGTTTTCCTTCTACAGTGTAGTTAGCAAATGAGACTTTGTCGCCTTTATCCCATAATGCACTCGAAAATGCCTCAATATGACAACCTCTTGGTGGTGCACTGTATTGTGAATCACCCGTATTCAGTGATTCAAACATACATACCTGAGATATGCATAAGCTCGTTTTGTTTGTTCCCAACCAGGGGTTGCTGGCCACCTCTCCAACTATCCCTGCAGACCTATGAACTAGCTCCACCTAATCAGCTCCACTTCCAGTCCATCAGATATCTCTGCAACCATCCCGTCATTATTCCATAGGCCATCTCAGTTCAAGGGACCTCCTCAAAGAACATTCTCGTCAGTTATCCTGCTGACAAATGAAACACTTTTAATAGAAGTTCATTTCTTCTAAAACGTTTTTAACTGCAGAGAGCTACATTAATTAATACATGTAGTATATGATGATGACGGCGGTGTCTAGGCCTGTAGCTTCCGGTCAATATACATTTATACACTGATGTCGGCTTGATCAAATAATCAGAAGTTTATCTTAGTCAGTAATTTAGGGAATGCAATATTCTTTTTGGTTCCCATATGGCGAAAAACCAAGTCCACCCCTCTGTCACCAGCAAAATGGTTGAGGGCATCCCCTAGGAATCTGCCCATATTTGCTGGACAACAGATCAGCCACCAGCAAGAAACCAACAGCAATGCCCTGAATCATCAAATCAGACACCATCAACGCCGCCTCAACAAAAAACCCTCAATGCAGTGCCCAGCGCTGCTGCCGATAGTTCAACCAGGACTCGTACTCCAGCCTCCCTTGTCCATGCATCTCAACCTTGTAATGCTAGCTCTGGAGGTGTTTTCCTGCTTTATGAAGGTAGAAGTTCAAAGAATAGATCCCTGTGCGATACAACTGCCAACCAGTGGCAAGGTCATTCTGAGGAGAACCCTTCAATGGAACAATCAAAGAGTTGCCGTCAAATTCATCAGGTGAATGACAGAGAGGGGGTGGGGGAATGGGCCTTTTTTTTAGGGCATCAGTTTTTTCCTTGTTTCTTTGGCCTGGTAGTGGCTGGCCATAATCAAGGACTTGTAATGGAGTTCAGTGGGAACTCCATTACTGGCCAGTCACTGACCCTGGCGGATGTACTGTAAGGGCCCAACCGTATACAGCTTGCCCCGTCTTCCTAACGCCGCATCGCGCTGGATGTGCTGGACGGTCTACGACACATGCACGACAGGAGTCTCCTTCATAATGACCTTAAAACTGATAACATTTTGGTCCGTGATGTTGGGGGCACTACTGCCCACAGTTCATCCAGGGCTACAACCTGCCGTATACCTCTGCAGCTCAGCGTGGCAACGCTAGCTATGGAGGTGTTCTTGCTCCCGATGAATGGTTACGAGGATAGACCTGAGGGCGTTGCAACTGTCCAGCTAGAAACATTCCATGGAAACAAAGTGGCCGTCAAGTGCGTCAGGTCAACAACAGACCAACTTCCCATCCTGATGAGGCGAGGGCAATGGGCCTTCTTCATGGGCATCCGTCATTCCCTTTCTTTTTTGGCCTAGTAGTGGCTGGCCACAATCAAGGACTTGTCAGCCAGTCGCTGACCCTGGAGGATGCCCTGGAAAGGCATAGCCGTCTACATTTTGTCTGTCTTCCTGGCGCTTTTCCACATGTAAGCAGCAGCAGCTCAGACCTAAATATGTCTGCATAGTTAAATGAAATATCGCCATTTTATAATTAAAGCCGGACTATGTGCAGTTAATGGAATAGTGGATCTTATAAAAATGAATTGTGATCAAAGCTATAAACACTACTGTACAGGCATATTTCATCAGAAATGTAAGGGCTGTTTTATAATTAATTGGAAACTTTGGACTATATGTCAATGGATGTACCATGCATTGAAAAACATATTCAGGAGTACAGTTTGTATGATTAGCATTTTTGAAAATATTCTTGAAAACGGATGTCAAAATAAAAGCCAAAATTAATATCGAAAGTGATTTTTATCTGATACGCTTTTAATTTATACTTTCTTTGATTTTTAATTAAGCTTTTACATTCAATTAGTATCATTTTACCCTCAACAACGAGTAAACGCGAGAAGCAAATAAGTTAAGGCCGGTTCATACTTTACGCGAAGGCGAAAACGAACGCAAATTTGTGACGTTATTCGCATTGCAAATTTGTAGACTGTGAACGCTTTACAACTCGAGCGAAATTTGGTATACTCGTGACGTCAAATTCGCTTCGCTGCCGCAATCACATGTAGTATGAGCCGATCTTTTACCTGGTTTAGCAAACAGGACAGATCCATTGTCACGATAATCACGACACCTGCTGGGGATATGTGCAGCTCACTAGTTTATAACTAGTTTATAGACTTTCACCTTTTCCCTAATACCATCAGCTCCCATCGCTATACCGGGTCCGTAATCACACAATCCACTCTGCAAAGGCAAAAGTGAAAACAACTTATTCTCCTATAGAGTGAGTCCTTTGGAAAACCTTTCCAGAAAGTGAAAATCCGAACAATACGGTTGATGATTCTTCAGTCATGACAGATCCGAGTTACCTTGGTAACATTTGTTGTAAGATTAACGCATCGAAGGATCCCAGAACCGTTTACAAATTCGAATCTCGCTTTAAGCATAATGTTCATTTGACTGGGAAAACACCCATATCTTGAGCCAATTATCCAGCTATTTGGTTTCCTTCTAAGAAAAAAGGACAACACACAGTGTGTAAGCGTTAAATTGGACAAATCGAACCATCAGACTCAATTGTTGTCGGCAGCGAAGTGGCTACATGCATCCCTTCATTGTTTCAAAACTGTGACGTTGTGGTTAATATAGGCTTTAAACACCTGTACTTCCCTCCTTAAGATGTTTCTAATCTCAATTTGGCAGCCAGCCAAACTCCTATCACTGACGAAATGGGAGTCAGGAAATAGCTCCACATGTAGCTCCGGTGTTTTAATATTTGGTCACACTGGATGATGCTGTCATTGACATGGAGTAAAACTGCGTAGTAAACAAGAAAACACAAGCTACGGATATGTGTACTGCACTATTACTACACAAACACTACACATGTATGAGTCTCTAGTCTCAAAATATAGTGAGATTCATGCTAACAACTAGTCGAACGAGTACATGTGCATGTAAATACTGAGCTCACGGAGCCCTATAAATATGTCTATTTAACAGGCCTATAAGTGCAGAAAATATCCACACACATCCCCATGAACACGTGGATCGCTTGGTGTGTTATATGTTGTTGCATCCTTATACAATATGTCAACATGTGGGTATATACATGTGTAAACAAGGTACACTTGACATGAAAACCGAATGTTATAAAGGCCTCTAAACTACTTGAAACATCTCTTT